CCCTGCGCTTCTGGCCCTGCTCAGCTCCCGAAAAGGGCCGGCTCGTCGCGGGCCGCGCAGCCGGGAGGGGATCCCAGCCCCCAGCCTGCAGCCTGCAGCCTGCAGCCTCCTCCCACGCCGCGCGTCGCACTTCCGCCCGCAGGACCCCTGCCGCCCGTCAGACCTGCCGACTGGATCCGGCTTTCGGGGAGGGCTGGGAGGCTGCGGGCCTCCGCGGCCCCGGCGGCGGGAGGCGGGAAGACGGGAGGCGGGAAGGCGCGGCCCCGCAGCCTCCCCCACACGCCGGGCGGAGCGACTCTGCAGCCTGCCGCGTTCTGCAGCGAGACTCGCGCGGGGACAGGAGGCCAGAGGAAGCCAGTCTGCTTTTTCTTCCACGCTCCTTTACAAGAGGGCAAGGAAAAAGGCAAAAGAAACGAGCGTGGGAGATAAAAGATGAAGAAAGTCTGGGTTCCAGGGAGTCACAGGGGCATCACATCTTGTATCGCCCATCTGGCCAACAGTCCTGTTTGATGTCCCAGGGGTCTGGGGGTCACTGGCCGACTCTGGACATATAGGTGGCACCTAGAGCTGAGTCTTAGGAATGGTCATTGTGTAGGTAGGAGCCATCTTGCAGGAGAAAAAAAAAAAAAGTCCAGCCGGATGGCAGCAGGTTCTGCAGGGCTCAGTGCATGGGTGCACCCGATGAAAAGGTTTGGGAAGCAGAGGAGCTTGCTTGTATTTGCGGCTGGGCCCGTTATCCTCTTAAGCTATTAAAAGAAAGAAGTAAAACTCAACTAAATGAAGTTAGAACACGTGCCTTCTTTTAAAGTGTTTTCTAACTTATGGGAACGTCATTTCTTTCCCGACTTCATTTCGGTGGGGCTAGCCATTACGGAATGTTAGCTGTGGGCAGAAGGTCGGACCAGTTTTGCTCATATTTGCCTGCAGTGGTGGCTTTTGTTGCCACCCTCTTACCTTTCCTTCCCCTACCCCTGCCCCCACAGTCTGAGGACTTAAGAATCACTTCTGCTCCATCTTCCTTCACCAAACACTGCAAATAGAAAGCTCGCCCCAAATAATACGAAGGACTTTGTATTGCTCACAAGATATGAATTAATCCTGCGGAGGTGGGTATTGTTAGGTTACCTCTAAGTAGAAGGAGTGATAGGATTGGGAGGGAGCAGAGGGTGTGTTCACTCTTATCTTACAAAAAACCCTTGAAAACTTTCCCAGATCAAGATTTGAGAACCAACTATAATAATTCTCAACTTGGAGAGAGTATATGATTGGACTTTTTCTTATTACAAGCTTCAGCTTTCTTCTTGAATGACAAGTTGTTAAATAATAATTTCTTCATAAGCACATTTACCCTATTTCAAACAGAAGATACCTCCTGTGATGCTGATTAACATGTTATGTTACAAAGGAGGAAGGGTTAAAAACCAGAGAAGAAAGTCATATCTGTAAAACAAGAAATCCTTTCAATACATTGTTCAGTTACATTTGTGCTTCTTTCTGTGTAATTTAGCTGCTTCGCAGTGAGGTAATGTCATCCATTAATTTCTTTATAATACACCATGAATAAGGAACTAAAATTTTAAAGATATAGAATTCTAGTAGATTCTGGCCTCCCTGAGAAAAGTGAAGGAAACAGGGATGGATCTATGACTTGCCTCTTTCTGTTAGACTGAAAAGCTTATAGCTTTTCACCTTGTTTCACCTGGCCTTTAAATCATTACTGATAAAACTCTATTCTCACACGGATCTCTCACACTTCTCAATGAGACTGCAGTTGAGACATTTTCTTTGGGGGTGAGTGACCATGAATTTAGCAACCTCTTTGGGAAGGTAAATTGCCAAGTCCAGCATTAGGCATTTAGCTGGGGAACTTGTGCTGGGAGGTGCTCCCTGTATCAGAAAGACTTGGACCTGGGATTTATTTGTGCCTCCATCAGCCACAATGCCAGATTCAGTGAGTCAGCCAAGAAGAACAGGCTCTTAGTCTCTCCTCCATCCCTTTAGAATCTTTCGCCAATGGATGCTTTTGTTTTCCAACTGTCATAGATATGCCTCAGACTGGTATTTTCTTCCTTTTAAAACCAGATCAAAAAACTCACACTCAAAGAAGGATGTGCATTAAAAAGGCAATTCTCACATAGTAATATCAGAGCAAGATCAACTTGGACAAGGAATTTAGGGTGTTAGTTTGACAATGCTGGGCACTGATCCGGTAAGCTATTTGTCCCTAACAGGATAATGTCATTTAAAATTGGAAGCATCTTAAAAGATCAAATCAGTTTAGTAACACACAGTAAGTTTTCTGTTAAGCTAGAAATGTGAAGTCAGAGCAATGTAAACTTTATTTATAAAAGATCTAAAATGCCATTTCCAAGCTTCACGAAAATATTGCTTACATATAACTGGAGGCATAATTTTATAGATCTGTTATTGACTGATCATTGAATAACAAAGACTGGCCTTGGTGGTAATTATGATTTGCCTTAGACACTTTACATCACAATCAGTTTTACAGAAGACTCCAGTAATGGTCAAACACAGAGTTAGGCTATTCTTTAAGAATTTATGGAATATATACCTTTTGACCTGGAATGGAAAAAAAGCTAAGTACAAGATGTTTATCACAATGCTGCTTCTAATAATTAAAAATTGGAAAACAATGTATAATAGTAATAGTAGCTAACATTTACTGAATGTTCATTATATACTAGACACCGTTGTAAGTGCTTTATATGGACTACGATACTATTTACACTATTTTACAGCTGAGGAAACTGAGGTGCAGAGTAAATTTTGGTGCATATGTAGAATAAAACATGATAGAGCTCTTAGAACTTTTGATCTAGAGACAACTTTCTTTAGAGACACCGAAAAATATAATTTTATACTGGATTTTTAAGAAACAGGTTCTGAAACAGTATGGATTCATTTATGTAAATCTATGAATGTATGTTTTTTAGAGATGTCTAGAAGGATGTTTACATGTTACACCTTACAATATTAAAATTGTAAGAGCTTGAATAGTTTTTACTTTTTGTACCTTTTAATATGATTTGGATTTTTTAAATGAATGCATATCAATTTAATAAAAGTGAAATATTTTAAGAAAATTAATGACATAGTTAATGTCAGGCCCCATTTCTTTAAAACAATTTCCATCAATTTTATCAGCTGATGAAATGAAAATGTTAAATAAATAATACAATTAGCAACTTTAAGGATGAAATACTGACTGTTTTTCAAATGTCTTTTGAATTTAGTCAACCTACGCTATTCATGTCCCCTTAAAAATTAACTTTATTTTTTTAGTCCCTCCAATATTCCTAACATAACTTTTTGGAGTTTTACAAGCAAAACCCATTTCTTTTTCATTAGAGCGTATAGGGCAATTTAAATGAGTTAAAAGTAGCACAGTTCTTAAAGTGGCTCTGTTTAATTCAGGTTAAATATCTTCATGTGGGCGAAACTTCCATTTATTTGTCACTTATATCAGTGTTTTCCAAACTTTTCAGAAAATTACCTGGGACACTTATAAAAATAAGAATTCTGCTTCCCAAACCATAGCTACTGAATCAGGCTCTTGGGAAAGATTAGTTTTTAGGGTAGAAATCTAATTTCCGAACCCCTCTCAAGAGTGCCCAATTGGAAATAAGTACAATATATCACTGTATTGCAATAATGCAATGATTCTGGGTATTTGAGAAGATTTGTACAAAAGCTATTTAGCAATGTTTTCTTCTGAGTTGTAGTTGCTTACTGGTTTCTGCAATTTCATCTCATGCAGACAAATTTTGATACTAGATGCTTTTGGGCCACATAGCTCAGCTTGTTGTATATTCCTCCCCGTCTCTGCAGTCCAGTTTCTATCTCTCCTTTTCAAACTACTTGGCTTCAAGAAGTTACTCGTTTCCAGACTCACTGTTGAAACAATCACCAAAAACCTCGTTTTTAAAATTTTAAAGCATGCTTTCACATCAGAGTTTGTAGATTCTTTAAAATGCAACTTTGATCTTCACTTGAACATCATTTGATAGTGAAAGAATTAAACAATTGTGGATTGTCCCATTATCCCTTCAGGGAACATGAGAACATCAAGGAATTATATATCACACAAAAGAAACTACATTTAATGTGACTGAAAGATGTGGAGGTTAAAAGGTTAGAAAGTAGACTTTCCGGTTTTTGTCCCCAGGGCATGAACTAATTAAAATAGCTATGGAATCTCATAGAAAAACGGAGTAATTTTTTGTTCACCTGTCCCTTACTTTGCCATTAGGAAACTTCTTTCTCCTCACAGAACAGATCAGTCAGATTGTTTGGAGGTAAGCAACTGAAACTTGCTTTCTATGAGTTCATTAGAATAAAATATTTATCACTTTCAGTATATTTTATGTGGCTTATGCAAGGTTAGGAGTTAATTCGTGATATAATTTTTGCTATGAAGAAAGTGAACTGTTTTGTTTTTAACGTTATTCAGCCTTTTGAATATTTTCCTCTTTATTATCAATTATTAATAGTATGTTTCTAAAAAAATCAAAAGATATATGATAATTAGGCTGTTAGGAAACAGGGAGAAAGATGAAAGTTCAAAGAATGTTAATTTTTGTGTCAAGTTTGAATGACTTATTGTGCAAAACGTATCAAAGATACACAGATCACAGGATAGAAAGTTTCTTTAAAAAAAAAGTACTGTATGTTATGCCCAAAGCTGATTACTACTAATGCTTTGTATAAAAATAGATACAGAAAAGCAACGATTTTTTAAAAATGGGAAAAAATCTGAACAATAAATGTTCTATTTGCTTTAAAAATAGCAACAATTTTATGTTTTGAACTAATTTGTCATCTTGGATATCATAGGATATAAAACATGCACTCTTAACGTAAAAGGCCATTTTCACTGCTTTTACTATCTTTTCAAATGTTTTGGTATTGCAATTGAGGTAATTTTATTAATATTTAGAACTTTAAAACTATTTCGCTATTTTCCTAATGCACATTTCTCAGGAACTCCTGCTTCCATCAGAGATAGTATGGCTTTACATATGTGCTTCCTAAAGAAGGCTCCTTTATAACTTCCAAACACGAACATCAGAAAACAGATTAGACAACCCCTAATTTGAACTTCTTTACAATTTTCACTGTGACTTACACTTTTCATTCTTGATTAAACAATATATACCTTAATGAGTATTGTATTCCATCTAAATTACGAGGCTGTTATTTTTACTGAATCTTTAGTCTTCTCAGAAAACTTGTGGCTGCCCTTGGCAAAAAATGCCTGACCATGAGAAGTGATCACAATCCATATTCAACATTTTCAAAATCATAGCAAAATTCAAAATTTTTATTTTTACTTGTTTTAGTTTTCATCGACTTTCAAGATCTTTTATTTTTAGTAAAAGCAAAAATTTTAAAACAGTGCACAAACTGGTTTTCTAGTGAACCTGAATACTAGAACTTAAAGTCAAGAAAAAGGAAAGATAATTGAAAACAAATCTGTAGTCACAAGTTCCTTACCAACCATACAGAAGCGGCCTGACAGAACGATGTCTTGTTTCTGGTGAAATGGATCCTTCCCTTACCTGACGTCAAGTGACTAAACTATTGTTTTCCTCAAAAAGACTCTTGGCTAGGATTTGCACTTGTCTTTATATTTACTTAGTAAAAGGTGTTTGTGACTATTCACTTTCAGAGAAAGAAGAAAAGCAGAGAAGAGAATCTACGTCTTCAAGAGGCTAAGGGACAGAGTATTGAAATGGCCTGGAAAGTGTTCAGAAGTGTTCACCTGGGGCTCAACAGGGATGAAACAAAAGAAAAATCAATAAGCAGTCAAAAATCAGCCTCATTTTTCTAGAAGGTGACCTTCCCCCTTCCCCCGCCCCCTCAAGAGTCCCAAGGAAGCTCTCCCTTAGCAACAGCCCCGAAGTTGCAGAAAGTGTCCTAAACCCTGATGGTCAGCTCCAGCTTCTATCTGGATATCAGACTTTTTGCCGAGTCTTCTTACCAGGGAAATGCATGTGGCAGTGGTGGCAGCAGATGTGATTTTGTTCCTAAGTATGGGGTGGACCTCAGACTCTCTCTGCTCACCCACCATTTTTTATAGAGACTGCTGGATTCGTCGCTTCCCGGGTCTTCTCATTGACCTGGAGGAGTCTCAGAAGATGGGAGCTCAGTTCTTGAGGTATTATTCTGAAAGCACTGGCCAGAAATGCAGTAGGAGCTGCTGTCTTAGGAAGGATGGTAAGTATTAATGATATGCCTGAGCAAAAGTAAGAGGAAACTTCCAAAATGAAGACCTAAGGAAGGAATCCTAGGCAGAGGGTCCATGAACAGTTGAAAAAGACTAAGTAAGATGTCCTGACATGACAGAGAGAGAGGAAGAGACATTGAGACTGACTATAGTCTGGGACACTGTAGGCTAGGCTTACAAATCTAGTAATGATCCAGAACGCTATTGAAACTACAGGTAACAGAGATTCCTCTTTTCTTCACTAAAGTGTTAAATGAAAATATTTCCTTAAGTGTTCACTTAACAACATTCTTATAGCCCAAAATAGAACATATTTTATTTTTAAAATCTTTATGATAATTTTCTTTTTAAAGTTATTTGATGATATCAGTGTCATTTCAAATTTTTGCAACATGCTTAGTTGTGTTGACCAAATGTGAAATGTATGGAACAGGATTTAGATTGTGATTCATATTTTGAAAGAAATAGGAAGATATATGTCCAATAACAAAAAGAAAAGAGTAATTTTCAAAATATTCTAACAATTTTTTTTGTCTGTAATCCAGAATTAGGGTTTAATGTCATCCACATAATAGGACCAAAGCCCGTACTTAGGGAAATGTTACAGAATTTCAAGTTACAATTGTCTAAAGACTTATTTTTCATTTTCTCAAGGTTTCATTTTCTCAAGGTTTTAAAGCTACTTGGAAAGAAACAAGGAAAGCACCGCATGACTTCAAAATAATTTTCTTGGTGTTCCATACTTTTTTCTGTGATTTGATTCTGACTTGTTAATTGCCAGTGCCTCCTATCCAATTATGCATGTAAGATTTCCAGATGGAAATTGGAGTTACTTGGAGAGTCTAAACTGACTACAAAAGACCGTAGTGTGAAAAGCTGTCATAAGCTAAGCCCTAAGCCCTCAAAAGTTAATCAGGTACAGAAGAGAACAATTTATTTATTAAGGGGAAATCTTTTTGAAAAGGTGGCCAATCGAGATTTTCACCATAGAGAGGCTTCTAATTCCTGGAAACCTTCACTGAGGGGGAATAGGGAAGAAGCTGTACCTTTTCAGCATTTTCTCATGGCATCGATTTACAAGGAAGCTGTGTGGCCTCTGCGTTTTCAAGATAATATAAACATCCAGTAGAGTTAGATGATTTTTGAGACTCTGTAGCTTTCAAGTTGTGACTCTTTCTCCAGAAGAAAGGGCATAAACACACATCTCAATTTCTAGCTGGAAACCAGAACTTAAAAAGACCACAATCCTGCAATAGTTAATCTGCTCAAAACTGGGACTCTGAAATGTACACAAGGAAGAATGTAAGACACCTTTAAAAATTGTTTCCTACAGAACCAACTTTCTTAGCAGAAATTTAATATCTAAATTTGAATATTTTTTATTCATTTCTCTTAAAATTTATAGCACAGTCCTTGGGGAATGTATATGTAATCTATAACATATTAGCAATGTATTATTGACTTTTGTCCTATTCTTTCTCCTACTGGAAAAATGAAGGGTGCAGAAATAATGGGGGAGGGGCAACTAACTCTCTACAGTTAACTTTACACAGAAGCAGTACACGTTCTGCCAACAGCAATTACACAGCAGCTTTAGGCATACTCTGAGGTCTGGTGATCAGATGTAATAACTCTGTAATTTTATTTTATTAAAGAAATTGATGCCTTTTGGCCAATAAATATTTCCCATCACTTGGTTCCTACTCCACTACAGCAGAAGGAAAATATGTGTTGCACGTTAGGGAGGGTAGACTGAAGACTGGCAGTCAACAAATCCGACAAGTTTTCCCAGTGATAACATGATATGCTTTAAGGAGGAAACTTACTTAGAAATGGGGTGCCGCATTAGCAAGTGATGTATCCTTACCCACCAGAATTCCAGGTGCTAACGTTCTTGTCCATCTACTGCTTTCCTCTGTGAATGGCAGTTGACTAGGCTTTTCATTGGATGTGTTTTTGCAACATGGGGCCAGTGCACACCTGCAGTCAGCCACGGTCAAGGCCTGCTGCCTTTTCACCATCTGGCCTCTCCCAGAAATGCAGTCATTACTTTTTTTGTCCTTATTACTCTCTCTTTTGTTACAGTATTTGTCTCTTTATTTTCCTTTGTCTTTCTCTGGTGAATTCCAGTACCTTAGCATTCTGAGAGGGCATTGCACCTAGAAATCTGATATATATGTATAAATCCCTAGAGATTTCTGTAGTCGATTGAATTTTTCATGCACATGAAATACTGGGAATGGGAAAGGATTCTAAGTAATCCCGTGTGGACTGGAATGTATGAAAGATTACTTAGAGGAAATCAGTGGGTATTTTCTTTTAAAAAGAAAGTTACTATAGTTCATAATGGTCTATAAAGGGTCTGACTACAGTCCTGTAATGTACTGTTAATCCAGTGTTCTTGAAAGAAATATGTTATCAGAGCTCATCAAACTGGCAGGTATCAGGACTGCCTGCAGATGGACTTTGCCCGTTTCCCTTTCAGTTGCCTGTAACTTGGCTGTCTTCTACCACGATCCAATTCATGACAATGTTAACTGCCTCCACATTCACTGCCCAACACTGGAAAGCTGCATATTAGAGCCTGGAACCAGTGCCATTTTATACAACATAACAGACGGTAATGATTTATGTATTTTGTTTTTATTTTGAAGAATATTGGTAATATTCTAATAAAGGCATATAACCTAGAAGCTGGCTGACAGTAGCCATGTATGAATCCAAATCATTAGTTTCCAATTTACTCTGTCTGGGCATCCAGGGCAGAAAAATTTTGAGCGTCTAGGGCGGAAAACTAAAAGGGAATTCCCTTTAGTATTCCATTTAGTATGACATGTTCACCAGAGATAAGTTCAGCAATGAATTTATTGCAGATAACAAATCACATGTGATTGAATGAGAGCTTAAGCATTATATTTCATTCGTCTTAAGTGCCCTCAGTAAGAACCAAAGTAGGCATTTCTACTGAGGATACTACTAAGAAGTAATGAAAAAGCTAAATGGCAGTTTTGGGGTCCACTGACCCTGGGTACACAGATTCTACAAAGGCAGGTGTCAGGGTCAGGGAAATGTACCACCACTTACTGACATACATTAGCATATCATCGGTCCCAAAATAACAAGTATATTTTACTTTAGGAAAATACATATTTAATTGTCCTTTGCCCATGTTTTATAACCTCGGGGTGCAAGTTAGTAAACATGAAAGAATAGGTTTTTTCATCAAAATACAAGAGATTAATTTATCGATTTGTACTCATTGAACACCTAATGCTACAAGATGTGCTCAACATTGCAGAAGATTGCCGCATATCTCTGCCTTCAAGTTCCTTATGATCTAGTTGATGTGGCAAGTCTTACAATTAGTCTAACATATAATTAAATACGATAATGTGTGATACTGCCTCAAGTACAAAGTCTCCAAAGAAGGAGAGAGTAAAGCAAGCTAGATAACCCAGAGGAGGCTTCAGGAAGAGGCAAGATAAGGAGTTCTGTATCACACCACAGGAAAGTAAGAAAACTGGTCTTCTTAGAGTAAGGGCACATTTGGGGCTAAAATGAAAATATGGGTAAGGTAGGGTAACAAAAGGGCTTTGGACAGAGTGTAGAGTTAGGAACTGACAAAGGTTGTGTCTGGTTATCTTAATCAAGGAAAATTATACATAGGATGCAGGTTAGAAAATTTAGTCAGGGAGGCATTAGATCTGGATAAGGTCACGTGAGTTGCAACAAAGAGGAGGGATGCTTCCCAGCATGTTGGGAAGGAATTGGGTAGCACTTACTTTTTGGATAAAGGAAGAGAGGAATCATGATCACTTGGCAGTACAGATTCCACCATGGGCGATGGAAGAATGGTGATGCTGCTGAATAAGACAGAGGCAGACAAAATGATTTTGGCTTTGGGAATGTTCAGTGATGACATGAGATGTCCATGTGGGAACCTCCAGTAGAACAAAGGAGAAATGAGATCAGAGCCCAAGAAATTGGAAAAAACTGGTGATGTGAATTTCATTGTCTTCATTGTAGTGGTGACAGTTGATGAGAATAATCTCTTTGGAGGGAGTGGGTGTGAGATAAAGAGAAAACGCAGCAGAAGTCCAAGAACTAAAGATGGTGGAAACCACACAACCAGTTAGGAGCAAGAAGAGAACCAGCAAAAGAAGGAAAAAATGAGAGGCAGGCAGTCTGAAAATTCTTCCAAGGAATCATGGGAGAATTTCAAAAAGAATATGGCCAGCAGGATCAAGGACAAGAGAGAAACCAAAGCAATGAGATACAAGTGATCAGGAAATAAACTACTGATTATCTCAGAAGCATAATTCTGACAGAACAGTGAGGATGGAAACAAGATGACTGAGGCCAAAAAGAAAGTCAAAAAGGAAATGAAGGCAATGGATGTTACTGTTTGGACAGAGAGGCAGGGAGACAGAGAGGGAGTAAGGGAGAGGAAGAAACAGTGTCAGGGACCATTGGAAAGCTGCTGAGAGATTTTTCTTCCCCTTTAAAGGACAAAGCAATATTTGTGCTTGTCTGAAGTGAGAGAGGAAAGAGTTAGTTTACAAGAAGAGAGAAAATACTTAAGACAAAATAAGGGCCCTCAGGTCCTGGAAAGGAATGATTTAGGGCTTTCCTTATGATTTTGAATACAGTTACACTACTCAGGCCCTATTTTGCTTAACTTTATTTCAAATGGTTACTGTTTCTGTAGCTCTGGCACTAACACTCACTATTGTTGCCCCAAAGCCCTGGCAGACATGACATATTCTCCATGATGTATCCAAAATTTGTTCATAACAGAGTGTCCTAGAAAGTTAAGATAAATTCGAATGTGGCCAGTATGTTTCTAAGCCTTTAGGAGTATGCAGTGACAGAACTTGAAATTAGCTTAATTCAATAACACATAGCAGCAAAACCAAGACTTCTCCAAACTGTACTTTATGGTCCTCTCTTTTAAATAAAAAATAAAGTGAATGATGCCTTATTTATCTTTCAGGTATAGATCCAGATTTGCTGGTTTTTGGACAATCACCTCCCACATATGTAAATACCCGTTCTTCATCTAATAGATGGGACAGACTAAGAAATCTAAAAACTATGAATTTAGATAAACGACAAACGACCATGATAAACCAAATGCTTTCATCAGTAGAGGTTCCATCATCAACCACACATCAGGATTTGGTTGTAAACACAAGCAATAGCAGGTATTCCAAGGAATTAACCACAGATTCTTGGGCAAGGTTTATTTCTCTGAATGATTCCAGTACCACAAAGGTAAATAAGGTGTTATCTAGTACTGATTTGATCAACAATCCAGATAACAAGACTATTTCTCCTTTCTTTGTGCCCATAGACACAAAATTTTCTCATATGCCTATTCCATCCCAACTCAACGGCAGCAAACAATTACTGAACAGAACCAAAGGGTACAACAGCAAGAACCACACATCTGAGAACGAAGATGCAACATTGCATGGTGCATCTGTGACTTCAAAGACGTGGCTAGTTCCTGTGGCCCTTGGTACCTCTGCCATCTTTCTTTGCTGTTGTATAGTCATCCTGGCATGTTGTCAAAAGAAGCAGGGCCAGTATAAACCAGGACAGAAAAAGTCAAGATCCAGGCAAATTTAAAAATATAACATTATGAAGGAAAACTCTTCATAGTAAAAGCTGTAGAGATTATAAGCTTTCAAGAGTATCATTTTTAGTTTTCTGTAAGGGCAGTTTGGTTAAAATAATAATTGCACAGGATGCCCATTCCTACCAACCTTTAAAAAATGCTAAGGCTTGATAAACATCACTGCTTTTTAAATTATTTCCATTTTTTTGAATAGTGTACCTTTTGCCAAAGTTCCAAAATTCTGACCTTTGCAGTTACGCAGCATCACGTGCAAGATAGTTTTAAGTAATGTACATACATTAACTCATTGAATCTTTACAATTCTGTGTTAAGTATACTATTATCAACCATTATACTATTATTATCACATTATACAGATGAGGGAACCGAGAAGAGAGACTAAGTATCTTGCCTAAAATCACACAGCTAGTGAGTAAGTAGTGAAGCCAGTACTTAACAGCCAGCCTGGTCCAAAAGTCCATGCTCAGAATCGGTTAGACTCAAAGCTTCCATTTTCTTAATAAGCACAGAAAAAAGATATAGAGGAAAAGACCACCGTATCTTGTCTCCAGTCAAAATCAAATTATTGTCACGTTAATAAAATTTTAGTGGTTTGAGCAAAAGAACACTATAAATAATTGGTTGCTAACTCATGAGCAAATGCTTCCTGATTTTTATATAGTTTTCTATGTTCCTTTAATTAATCCTTCTCAATCCTAATCCAGCACTTGCATTTTTAAAACATCTTTCAATAATTATGGCACTGAGATCTTTGTTTTGTATTGATTTCTGTTTCATAAAGCTTGGGAGTTTTAGTTTACACCCTCCACCTGTATACATTGTTTTCCCAGGTACAAATACGAGCTCTAGGTATTTCAGCTCTGTGCAAGACCACCCTCATTTCTGACACCAACTGTAAGTTTGAGGTGGGTCAGGGGTCCCCAAATCACCCTTACATTAATTTGCTAGAATTCACAGAACTCAGTGAGAATTGTTATACTCACCACAGTCGTTTATTACAAGGGAAGCACATGGATTAAAATCAGTCGTAGGAAGAAACACATAGGATAAAGTCCCGGAGGTTTGCAAATTCATAGCTTCTGGTGTCCCCTCCCCGAGATAGGACACATTACCCTCCCAGTGCCAGCACGTGACAGTACGCCCACAATACTGCCAACTAGTTAGGTTTGCCTGAGCCTCAGTGTTCGTTTATATTGAGGCTCCATTACGTAGGTATGACTGATTACCTGGGTGGTTGATCTTAGCTGCCAGGTGGACTGATTTACCAGGTGATTCGAAGCCCCCACCCTAAATTCCATTGTGACCGGCTCAGCCCCAAACAAAGACACTTCTATGAGGTGTGACAGAGATTACTTCCCAGAAGCTGAGGGAAGAGACCAGAGCTTTGGGAAAGGTCAAATTCTTTATTATACATCATTACTCCTTCCATTTGCATCTGTGTATTAACACTACTGGACTGATTAATCTACTTGTTCACGTTCCTTCAAAATGTTTCCATCTTTAATCCCATTTCTGCACCTGAGTCTTCCTTAACTCTATATGAGTCTCTAAAAACATAACAATTCAAACATTTTGTTTTAAATCTGATCTAAAAATTCAGTTTTACCTACTTTGCTTTTCATTCCCTAGTTCCATCCAATGAAAATACAACCTACCTCTCCCTCTTTTTTGTACTCAAGGCCCTACTGTTGTCCTTTCTAACCTATATATCTCTAATACCAAATCATACCTTCAACTTGTATAAATCTTTGTATAATTGTTCTGAAATTCCTTTTGGCTTTTATTTATGTTCTCTAATTCTGTCAGGCAAAATAAACCTTAGGCGAATAACAAACTCAACAATTCCTTTATTTTGATTTTAATCACTTGAGGACAACTTTGGAAGTGGTAAAAAATGACTTACAGATATACCTAAAAACACTGACAGCTAAATTGAATGGAATGTTTCTTAGGGCAATTCTCATTTTGTCATTTACTCCAATTAAGCTCAAGGTCCTTATACCTCATCTCTTTCCTGAGCTGTGGAAGCTCTAACTGGGGAATCGAGAGATGAATACCAGTTAATCTCCATTTCCACTTTTCTGTAAGCTTGGGTTTGGAGAAATAAGCTCCAGAAAATAGAAAGTAGGATATTAAACAAAGTTGAAGCAACATAAAGTGACTCCAAAGTAGAATGATGGAACCAACTTTTTAGGTAAGAAAAAACAAGTAAGACCTGCTTCTAATCGGAATTGGCATCTGCAAAAATGCACTGGATAGACAGCAGCTATGTACACTGAACAGGGACTGTGTTCTAGGCCTCGCGTCCCAAATGACAGAAATCATAATTCAAAAGTAACCAGTAAGTGCTAATTTATAAGGAAACAAATGTAGCAGGTGACAAAATAACTACATGAATAATTTATAATATGTATGTATTATAATACTAAAGTTGTTATGGTAGGAATAAAATCAAAACACTTTAGAACCAGAAGAAAACAGAGATCCAACTGTCTAATCACCCCAGTGTATAAATAAGAAAATGTGTGAATAATCATTGCCTCTGTGCATTAGTATGAAATAATTTTAACTCTGAAGTAAAACAATTTTTTTTAACATTTTCAACTTTATATTGAATTAGACAACAATCACATATAGATCATAAAATTAATAGAGCAAGCAGATTTTTCTACATAATTCATGTCAGATTTAATAGTCTCTTCACTGATTCTTTGTAGTGAGAAAGGGTATTTTCATTGTCCCCCTCATTCTTAAGCCTAACAACAGACTTTTTGTAATCTTCAACTTCTTTAGTACCAAGGAGCTCTTCCTTATTTACTTCCAGATTTTTCTCAGCGGCTTTAATTTGCAGAAGTGTTTTCAGGATATTTTTTTCTGATGAGCTATTTTCCCATATATACTCTTCCAAGTCTGCTTCGGTCTTATTTTTCTCCCACTCTTCAGTTTTCTGAAAGGAAAAAATCAAGTTCTGAATTCTGAGAAATATTATCCAAAGCCAAAGGTGGGATTTTCAGGGTTTTTGTAAAATGTGGAGCACCCCTGGTAAATACTTCGTATGTACACTCTGATTTGCCTCCTTTATCCAGCACTGCCATCCACCAGCACCAACAGCTTCAGGGCTGCACACTCTGTTATGTGAACAACTCGTTAGCACTCACGAACTCTAATTTCACTTATAAAGCAATACCTTTTTCCAAAAGATAGAGAAAATGCATTTTTTTGCAGCTTTATAGTCCCTAAACTCTAACACATCAACAGTTTACATTTTTGAAGTTAAAAATAATGAGTGGAGACTGTATCTTTTTAACATGTCTGTTGAGATGACAGGAAAGATCAATTATTATTATAACATTAAAAATGTAAAGTACATATGTAATACATGATTTTCAGTCGTCATGATTTCGTATATTCTGGAATTTTGTTTTGGTGTTATCTTTATTTTCTGTTCCTATAATGCAAATAATTTTGCTGAATCAGTGGCCTATTTGCCTTGGTGGGGCTTTTCTTTTACCTTTTGTATTTTCTTACAAAAATTACCATGCTATTCTAGAGAACACTGATAGTTTTCGTAGTAATATAATTCAGACTTAACGATTTAAATGAAGATATAACATTCTGTAAAAATAAGTCAAGTAATGCAGCTAATGCTCTGGTTCAAAGAGGTTCTGAATACTAGCACGTTCTTTCCAAACAGATAACAATATTCTGAGCCATAGGCTATTACAGAATTGTCCACTATTCTTACATCTTTAAGGTGTTAACCCCCAAAGTTACAACATTTTTAAAGTATTAAAATAGAGGTAGATTTGTAAGGCTGTCAGAAATATTATTTTATTTCTAAAAATTCCTCTTGAAAGAGACCCAGCCTTTTCAGACAGGGCTCTAAGGCTCCTCAGAACTAAGTGAGCACCAAGAAAGAGGTAAACAGTTCTCCCCGATGCCTCTCTCCCATCCCTAATCCCACAGGAAACAACAACAACAACAACAACAACACAGATTTGTCCCTCAAAAGGTAAAATAATAGCCCCACCAAAGGCAAATAGGCCACTGGAGAGGCCACTGACTCAGCAAACCCCAGTCAGGTCAATGAAGCCTAGGAAAGAAACTCTCCTACAGAGACCCAAAATAAGGAGAAATCCCAGTTTCATCCTTCAAACAGGGTACCCTTTCTCCTTCAAGAGAAACCAATAGGATGTTGAGTGTCTCCCCTGACCCCCAAATTCCTTAGCCAAAGTAGGATAACTATACTCACAGCCCACTATACTGTCTGCCCCAGCTCACCACATACAGAATTTATAGCTGAGGACAATGTCTCAACTCATGTTCTAGAAATATATTACCCAGTTGAGAATCAACTCTATGCACCTTTTTTATGTGGTAGTGAGGCATTAGGGCTGGCTGAGAGGAATGGAATAATGTGAAACACCTTCTTATTGTGCCCTGTCCCACGAACTTGCAAACAATTTCTAACAGCTAAACTCTGAATTTGTACATTAAAAAAATTTACAAAATTACCCTATTTCACATATTTTTTACTCTAATATTTGGGGAAGATATAAATGTAAGTTCCTTAAAAAAAGCAAATGCCCTAAACAAAGGGTCCTATCCACTCTTGAGAATGCTTTATATGTTTCATGGCAGTGTCATAGTTTCTTCATAATTCTAATTTACAAATGAAGTATAATTAATTTAAGAGGCCAACAAATATATTTTATAAAGTGTTAAGTAAAAAAGTCAATTAATCTCATTCTTGACTAGAAGGCAACTGAGATTATTATTTTAATAAAGTAAGTAGTAAGTTGTTATTAATTGATTTACAAGAGTAATAAAGATTACTTAAATGTTTAAAAAATTTTAAGTTTCACCTAGGTTTATCAAGATTTTCTTGACCACTTTAAAAGAGATGCTTAAACAGAAAAGGTAACTGAAGTAAATCCACTAATAATTTCCAACATTTTATTTACCTTCCTCTGACATTTGGTATATACAATTCTACCCTGGTCTGCCAATATGTGTTATAGGTGTGCCATGATATTGATTCCCTCAGCCCTCAGGTGGCCAAGAGAGCCTGGAGTAGCAGGAGCAGCTACAAGCACCTTTCTCCTTTATTTATGTCAGTAAAGAATTTTCTGTGTGTGCAATGACATGAGAAAGGTTAGGAAATCCTGCACTAAGGGATAATGTATATTTACAGGAGAAAATTACCATTGCTCTAAACAGTTCCTGGTAAGGGAAAGTAACTGCATTCTGTAAAAAAGCTTCCTACTAATCCTTTACAGACCACAATGTAGTGTTGGGCTCTGGCTGCAAGCTAAACAAAACTCATGTTTCGACATATTCTAGCTTTAGGATTCAAACTCTGCACAGTTTAATGTAAATTCCAAGATATGATAGTAACAATATTTTTGTAGCAATATGTATGAATATTCACATACATTAGAATAAATATTCTAATGGGATAAACAAGGCAACAAGTAGCTTCTCATCCATTTAGATCTCCTTTCACTACCAAATAAGTTATGAAAAGACTAGGAAGTTCCAATGCTTTTTTATATTTCCAAATTATAGCTAGAGGGGCTATCTATCTGCTATTTGCTCAAGGTCACACAGGGAGGTGGTATGACAGTATTTAACATGGGCTTTGGAGTTTTATAGAACTGAATGTAAATCCTAGTTTCATCACTTACTACTGTGATAGGCTTGGATTTCTCTAAGAACTGCTCCACAGGGCTATTCTGAGGATTAAGAGGTAAGTAACAGCCATGTACTTAGAGCACCTGGCTCACAGTAAACACTAAATAAATGCTCCTTACTAATAACAACTTATTAAGAAGAATGAAGGAGAGTAGTATTCAAACTCTCATTAGCCTACCCTCAAAATCTATGTTCCTATGTCAAGAGCACCACTACAACTATCAAGCAGTAAATTAAACTTTAAAGGTAAATATAAACACAATAATACAATATCTGAAATTAATAAATCACTGTTTAAAAGTAGGCTGCATACAGCACAAGTCAAAATTAGTGAATGCAAAGACAGAGCAACAGAAAACTGTATTGTTATATATGAGATCTGTACTATGGGATTATAACTATGAGATTCTGAAACAGTTTTTATATTATATTACTTCTACTTAACAGGTCCCAACAAATCTAAAACCAGAGCAACTCAAGTATCCGTAACAGACTGAATGCTTGTGTCCCTCTAAAATTCTTGTTGAAATGGAATCCCCAAAGTGGCATTTTGGTAGAATCTTTGGGAGGTGTGGCACCCTCATGAATGGAATTAGTGCCCTTATAAAGGAGACCCCCCTCCACACACATAAAAACTCTTGCATCATGTGAGGACAGAGAAAGAAAATGTCATTTAAGAACCAGAAAGCAGGTCCTCTGCCAGTGTCCTGATCTTGGGCATCCTAGCCTCCATAACTGTGAGAAACAATTATCTGTTGTTTATGAACTACCTTATACAAATAAAAATTAATACTTTTTTTAAAGTTTGTGAAAATGTATTTTGGGAAATTTAGCCTGGATCAATGCTTAAATTTATTTTACAGTAGTTATCAATACAGTAAAAAAACCTATCATTTTTCTATAACTTCTAACTTTAAAAAAGTTCACAAAAAGAAACAATCAGATATCATGTACTTCCTAGCAGAAGAACACAATACCAACTATGCAGTAGTTTAAAAAAAAAAAAAAAATTACACTGGAACTTGATTAAGCCTCTAGATCTAACTATCAATTTAAAAAGTTACACTATGGTGATAGAATCAAGTAAAATTCAAATGATGAGAAAGCCTACAGCAAAAACACATGCGTTCTTAAACAAAACAGCTCAACAGAAAAAGTTCCTTTTTGGTTTGTAACTGCTATGGGGCACCCTTTCAAAAAACATTTACTGAGAACCTACTATGCTCAGCAGTACTAGGAGAAATATATACAAAACCAAAGAGAAAACCTTATGAACTGTCTCATGTACCCATCACCCAGTTTCAACAACTCATGGCCAATCTGGTTTCATATATGCTTCTATCCACTGCTCTCTTAGCATGCCCTGAGTTATTTTGAAGGAAATGTCAGACTTTGTCATTTCATCCACAATATAGTTGTATTTTTCTTTAAAATTAAGGACTATTTTAAAAATCATAACCACAATAACATTATTGTGGTATTTTGATTCATGAGAGCCTAACCTAGGTCAGTTCACTCATTCACTCAATTCATTTACTCTATTAATTAGCAATTCCTATGTGTAGATTATTGGCTTCCGACAGTTATGTTTCCCTGTTATTATCTTGTCCATCTGGCCACAGTTACTGGACAATGCCAGTAGAGTCTCCCCGTTGGAGTTTAAATCTAAAGAGAATTAAATTTAATTAATTTTTAGTTTTGTTCCTTTGCTCCCCCTTCTCCTCACCTCCACCTTCCCCGACCCCAGAGTGACATGTATGAAGGAACAAAGACATGTTATAAAGAATATAAAAAAAACAAAAGAATAATTCGATTTGAACCTACCATTTTTTTTTCCTCTTACAAGCATAAATTCAATACAAAGAAAACATATAACAGCTAATTCATGCAATAGTCAGTTTATTCTGATATAACAGAAAGCAAAGAAATAGCTGTTCCACTAAACACACAAATTTGTCACCTTCTACCATTTTATTTACAACTCCCTTTGCCTAGGACATGAATCATAGTAATATTCCACTTCTCATGATTACAAGTAAGGCATTGTGCTATATGAGGGAAAACAGTTTAACCATTTAAAAAAATCTAAGTTATTTGAAAATCATAAAAAATAGAGGTAAAGATCTATAAAGGATAAAAAGTTACTGCCAATTCTTTCAGTTATCACAGGTAAATTTTTAACTTAATACGTCAAGGAATTCAAATCAGATTGGTTTTATAAAAATTTACTGAATGCTGACATACCAGACATTG